AGGACGTTTCTGCATGGAAATGCCCTCCTGACACCCCTCAAGTCCTGACACCCGCTCTGTCATTTACATAGGCTTGCACAGCACATTTCATTAGCATGTGCACCCAAGGAGAGAATTGGGGGGAAATTGCAAGACAAACAAAGAAGGACAAGGAAGAGGTAAAGAGGCAAAAAGCTAACAAAACGTCTACAACAGGAGCAGTGAAGAAGTCAAAACAGAATTTTTCCTGCAGAGAAAAGGAGCTGTGCCACGCTGACCGGGGCAGGTAGATCTGGAGGGCCAAGGGCAGGGGGGCGTCTCCTTCTTGCGTGCCACAAAAGCAGCCTCTCACCCCCACTAATATCTCTCCACAAAAGGTGGCAAGCAGAGCTCAGGTGGAGACAGAGCCATGAGACAGACACAGGCAGAAGAAAAAGGCTGGAATGGATCTGCAGCTTCTGTCTGTGCCAACAACAGCAACAATTTATTATTTATACCCCACCCATCTGGCTGGGTTTCCCCAGCCACTCTGCAAGCGGCCTCCTCCCTTACCAGAGACAGACACAGGTAGAACCCTTTTCTTCTTCCTGCCTCTCTCTCTGCTTCCTGCTTCCCTCCTCCTCCCTTCCACCTTTGTTGCTCTCCCCTTGCCATTCCCCACAAGTCGTGGCAACTGAGGGAGCCGAGTTGCCACTCCGTGCTCCTTGCCACAATCCCCAACTCTTTTTGAAACATTAGGCTGTGCCTGGGCACACCCTGTGTCCATCCCTATACAGTGGTGCCTCGCAAGACGAAAAGAATCCGTTCCGTGATTCTCTTCGTCTTGCGGTTTTTTCGTCTTGCAAAGCAAGCCCATTAGCGGATTAGCGGATTAGCGCTATTAGCGGATTAGTGGGCTTAGCGGATCAGATGATAAGCGGCTTAGCGGATCAGCTGATAAGCGGCTTAGCAGATCAGCTGATAAGCAGCTTAGCGGCTTGGGAAAGGGGGGGGGAGGAAAAAAACCCTGCAGGAACTCGCAAGACATTTTCGTCTTGCGAATCAAGCCCATAGGAAATTCGTTTTGCGAAGCACCTCCAAAACGGAAAACCCTTTCGTCTAGCGGGTTTTCCGTCTTGCGAGGCATTCGTCTTGCGGGGCACCACTGTAGTCACTTACTCTTTGACTTCTGTGTTTCTGCCCCCCCCCAGCATACCCCCCTCTGTCATCACTGACCTTGGCCCCAGGTTGCTCTCCTGGCTGTAGGGGCAATGCTGAGTACATAAGAGATTCAGGGCACTGACCCCTAGATGCAGATTTGCACATGCTGCCTAATAGGTACAGACGTAACTTTAGTAGTTGAGTTTCACAGAAAGCAAGCCAACTAATTTCCCAATCAAATCACCCTAGGTGAATTCCCTAATTAATCTGCCACCCCAACTCCAGATCGCTCCAAATCAGATCTGCTTCAATGCACTCATATCCCCCAAATAAATCTCTAGATAAAGTCATCCTAATTTATTTCCCCAAATTTAATACCTTATTGCATAACCCAGATATGTAATATTCAGCGCTTTTACTACTACTACTACTATAACAACAACAACCCTGCACACACAACATTTGGGGTCCCATGAGCCCCACCCCTACCAACCCCCCACCCATGAGTCACTTTTCCTTCTTGGATTCTCCTTGAGCAGAATTGGCCTTTGGAGCCTGTGCTCCTGACTAGGCTGATCTAATACCTACACCAGCTCCACACACGCAATTAACCTCTGACCTGGCCTATATTTAAATGCCCTTTCCATTATCCGACAAAGGCCCTTTGGATTCCAACGACACGAGGCAAGTCTGTGCTTTCCTTGTAACTCCATGCTCATCAATCCCCTTTGTGTCAGGATTCAGCCTCGCTCCCCTAAGGGCTGACGCTGGACTGGCTGGGAGACAGGCAAGGCGAATGGGAGGCCGGAGCAGCCTGAGCCGAGCAGCTGGAATTTCGGACAAGTCACTCAGCCCATTGAGAGGCCTCCAGACAGGCAGGAAGTGGGGCACAAGGAGACCAGCTCATCTTCCTTTGTGCAATTAAAAGAAGAGTTGCAGCTGGGTGACCCTGAAGTGATTGATACTCTGCAGAATTTGCTGGCTTTGTGTTTGGAGGAAAACAGATTCAACATTTAAGAACAGTAGAGCCCTTTTGAAAGTGCTCTCCCCTCTTTCAGTTCATGTGTGCCCTTTTCTGTTCTGGGGCAAGCTCTGGGGTGGAGGGACTAGTTGTGGAGGGTGCCTCTTGGCTAGTGCCTGTGATAGCGCCAACTCACTTTATGCTGCAACTCCTAGAGCCCCCTGATTCCTTGGTTCCGGGGGCAAAATGAGTTGTTCTTCATGGAGTAAAGTTCCACTGGACCCTTCCTCTCCTCCACCCATCCGACAGAGAAAAAAATGTGTTTGCGTTTCACTTTTGCATGCGTGAATCTGAATGCAAACTCTGCGTTTCAGAGAATAAAGACTCTTTTTTTCCTAGCAAGCCAGAACCGGGAGCTCTTTTCGTTTCCAAATTTGCAGCAATTCCTGCTGAGGAGAAATTCATCAAATTGCCTAGACGCAGTCAGGGAGCGGAATGACAGCCCGCGTGGCCCAGGGGGGAACCATCACTACGGATCATTATGTTCTCAGCAGCTTAAATATATTTTGTCCCAGAAAAGTATGGCATCAAATGCTCTGGAAAGATTTATTTGAAAAACAGCCGCTTTTAGGGGGGCCGCCGGGTGTCTTTTAAATTGTGTTTTCTCTTTAATGCACAAGACTTCTTCCTGCATCTTTTATTTTCACTTACAGGAGTTGTTTAGAAATAATGCTCTGAAGGAGTGACTGGCTTGGGGATTTTTCCCATTTCTGGGGTGCTTTTTTTCTTTGTTTACCTCCAACTTGATTTAGACGGATGGATTTGTGAGCCCCAGGAAAGCTTAGCACAGAATCACAAGAGCCCTCCCCCCCCTTGTCAAAAGGAGGCCTGGGGGAAAGGCTTCTCCTGAAGGCTACGTCCCCCTCACTCCTGTCTGAAGAGCAGCCGTGTCCTTTGATCAATGAACAAAGTATGCAGAAGAGGAGTGGAGAACCTGTGGGTTGCAACCATGGACGCGGACTTATAAAAATAATTGGGGGCCCGGGAAAGCTCATGAATAATAATAAGCTCATGAATATCAATAAAGTGGCGCCGCCTCCTCGTGAGCGAATAGGGAGAGCGTGCTGCGCCTATTAATCAGCTCCAAAGGAATTGGGTGAGCTTTTGCTCGGGAGGGAGGGCAGGAGGGCATGCAGCCCGCCCCTCCCTGTGCATTTTGGGCTGGGGGAGGGGGCGGCGATGGCGCTCTGCTGGAGGGGCGCCAGAGATTATTGGGGGGCGGAGCCCCCCCAAACGAATTTTTGAGGGGGCCGGGCCCCCTCAAGCCCCATGGAGTCGGCGCCTATGGTTGCAAACCCCCCCTTATCCCAGAGCATGGGAGGTGCCAGCTGGGCGGGGGGGGGGTGTTGCAGCCTGCAGCCTCCCAAGGGCCAAAGGTTCCCCTTTCTGGCCACAGAGACAGCTCATTCACAAGACCCTGTTAGGGTGGGAAGGTGGGGTCTGCAAATACAGTCCAATCTAAGAGTTTGCCTGTTCCCAGCAGAAACCCCACACTTCCTTTTTCTTTTTAATAAGATTTTTAAAAGCTTTCTCATCATACAATAAGATAAAAGAAATTAATCTAAATAAAAACTGAAACAGAAAAAAGCATTGAAAACGCAGAGTCCCTTCTCAAAAGTAGTTTGCAACCAGGGCTTTTTTCCCCAGCAGGAACTTGCTGGAACTCAGTTCCAGCACCTCTCAGGTTCTAAGAGAAGTGTTCATGGTGAGTTCCAGCACCTCTTTTTCTAGAAAAATAGCACTGCTTGAAATGCTTGTCTCACAGAAAGTGCTGGACGCTCCTAGCTCTTCTCACCTAGGGGCTTTCCTTTCTTCTCCCAGCCTCTCCCCTCGGGAGGATTCCCTTCCCCATCTCTCACACGGTGGGGGGGGGGCAGGGTTGCCTTCCTGTGTGTGATCCTTGGATCCCAATAATGGCCCTGAGCAGAGACGCCAAAAGAAAACAAAAGAAGAGAGCAGAGAAAACAGAAGAAAGAAGATAAAAAGAAGCAAATACAGTGGTACCTCGGGTTAAGAACTTAATTCGTTCTGGAGGTCCGTTCTTAAGCTGAAACTGTTCTTAACCTGAGGTACCACTTTAGCTAATGGGGCCTCCCATTGCTCCCGCTGCACGATTTCTGTTCTCATCCTGAAGCAAAGTTCTTAACCCGAGGTACTATTTCTAGGTTAGTGGAGTCTGTAACCTGAAGCATCTGTAACCTGAGGTACCACTGTAATAGAAACAAGAAATAAAAAGAAAAAGGACATCCAATTTTCCATCTGTCAAAACCCCACAATTTCCTCTGCTATTTTGGGAGCCGAGATATAGAACCATTTGGAAACATTTTTCAGTTGTGCCTTCTCTGGTCTAGCTGCAGATGCTTCCTCCATCACGTGGTGGAGTCGGATCAGACCACAGGCCTTGCAGTCCCAGTACTCTGTTTCTGGAGTGTGAATGTGCATCCTCAGGGTCTAATCCAGAGGCATACTGCCCCTGCAGGTGGAGGTTCTTAGCCGTTGTCGTAGTTCGTTCACTTCTGTGTTTCCTTTCTGCCTCTGCGCTTCAGGGGAGGGGCCGTGGGGCGCAGGCATCCACCTTGCATGCAGAGGTCCCAAGTGCAATCCCCAGCATCTCCCAGTGCAGCTGCAAAAGTTTCCTGCCTGAAACCCCAGAGAGCCACTGCCAGTCAGCGTGGGCAGTACTGAGCTAGGCAGCCCCTTGATCAGACTCAGCAGAAGGCAGCTTCCTGTGTTGCATTCGTCTCCTAAGATGCCCTACCTATCCTGTGGGGCTGGGCTGAGATTTGAATTATGGTTGTTGGGGAAGCTCACAAGCCTATTGATCCTCAGTACTCCGTCCCTTTCCCCTCTTTGTCTCCAGCGCTCCATTTGCCCTCCAGATGGCGCTCCTCCGAGACGGCTTCCTTGGCGCCCTGTATCACGGCACCTGCCACTGCCCTCAGCCTCTCCTGCAGTGGCTCTTCCAGGTAAGCCAAGCAGCCCAATTGCAGGCAGAAGGCCTTGCCGCTAGATGGCAGCAGTGCCCAAGGTGGGACTGCGTTGGGAGACACCATTCATCACCTTTTCAGCTCCCAATAGTTCAGGGCACACTGCCGGGACACTAATCAATTAGCATGGTTAATCCACTAAAACGTTAATCACTGGTTTTAAGATGCAAGTCTGGCTAATTGGGCAAGTCCTCAGCCTTGCGCAACAGACGCCTTTGGGCTCCCCAAAGCACCTTTGCTTGACAAAGGACAATTGGGGCAGCGGGCAGTGGGGGGGATCCTGTATCTCCCAAGCGCATCAGGACTTTGCGAAAAGGATGTTCAGTGCTGCTGGTGTGCCAAACAAGCCACACGTCGGTTGAAGTGGCCAGTGCTAGCAAGCTGGTGCATATCTAGCATCATTATCACGCCTAAAGGACCCTCCAAGTTGATTGAGAAGGAGGAACGGACTTGTAAATAATTGTTTGTCCCCTGTGGGGTGGAACTTGGTATTCATTTTTGTTTCTTTGCATTTTGCCTTCTCATTTTGTATTTTTATGTTGTGAACCACCCTGCAATCTTTGGATGAAGGGTGGCATACAAATTTGTGTATACTGGGGATACTGGGATTTGTGTGACTAGGGATAAGGGGATTTATAGTCTGTGACCTGGAGAGTCCACAGGTTAGTCATGCCAGCCTGATAGGGCATTGCCCGTTTTGCAGATTTGATGGATGCAAAGGTGAAGATGGATGCAATCCTTTCAGAGCTGTGAGGCTGCTTTGAAGCACTCTGTTCAAAGCAGAGCCGGGGCAATGCGGGGGCTAGCTGGGTGTTTTGCCCTGGATGAAGCTTCCAGAGGTGTGCACTGAGGCTCCCAGCCTGTGTGTGTGTGAGAGCAGATGCACTGGGTCTTTGACCTGGGTGAAATAAACCCTAGTTTCACCCCTCGTTCAAAACGTGCAATTCCTGCCTCCCCGCCCCCGGTTGAGCTCTGGAAAAGCAAAAGATTCTGAACATCCAAAGCAGAAATCGTTTATGATTGGTGCTGATTGGCTAACTCCCACCCTCACGGCAGCTTTGCACTTTTTAAAAATGGTTTATTGTTTCAGGTAGTTATTAAAGTGACAAGTTCATGCAGTGCTTTAAAAGAAAAGGGAAAAGTGGACAGGCTGCATGAAGCATTTGAGGAATTTAGTTCACTGACTTGCATGTCTGTCATTGCAATTGCAAACTGGAAGGAAGATTCCCTTGTGTCTGTGGGACGTGCTCGTTGGAGCTCTTTTTCAGACTTTATATCCATCTTCATCATCCAGAAATGGTCTTTCCTATGTCATATGGCATGTTAAACCACGTCAAAATAGAATGCTGCAACTTTGCTTTCCTGCCTTTGAGGAAACTGTATTTCTGTGAGGGGTTTGGGGATTTCTAAACCTTCCTTAGTCTGGGTAGCTCCTTTGTGGGCCTTTTGCTGCCCAGATTCTGCATCTAGGCTGACTCCTCTCCTTCCATTCTGGCTCCTTGATCCCCCAGCCACCTGCTGATAGCACAAACTGCATCCTTTCTCACTTGAAGTTTTTTAGTTCCTGATCTTTCACCAGATTCTCCCTACATAATAATAAATAATAATAATAATAATAATAATAATAATAATAATAATAATAAATTTTATTTATATCCCGCCCTCCCCAGCCGAAGCCGGGCTCAGGGCGGCTAACAACACTAAAACAGTGCAACATTATAAAAATTAATTAAAATACAAATTGATGGCAACCATAAACTAAAGTTTTGTAAAGATTGCCAAAGGAGGGAGTCAGGCTGCGCCCTGACCAAAGGCCTGGTGGAACAGCTCTGTCTTACAGGCCCTGCGAAAAGATGTCAAGTCCTGTAGGGCCCTTGTCTCTTGCGACAGAGCGTTCCACCAGGTTGGAGCCGCAGCCGAAAAAGCTCTGGCTCTAGTTGAGGCCAGCCTAACCTCTCTGTGGCCTGGGACCTTCAAGATGTTTTTATTTGAAGACCGTAAGTTCCTCTGTGGGGCATACCAGGAGAGGCGGTCCCGTAGGTACGAGGGTCCTAGGCCGTATAGGGCTTTGAAGGTTAAAACCAGCACCTTAAACCTGATCCTGTACTCCACCGGGAGCCAGTGCCGCTGGTATAGCACCGGATGAATGTGATCTCGCAAATGTGGTCTCAGATTTCATTGGCACCCTGTGCAACACCAAAATTCAGTGCCCCTGCCTCTTGCCTTCCATTCTACATCATAGTAGTGGCATGCCCTGAAGCGCCCCAAGACTCTGCACCCAGTGTGCCATGCTCCTCTAAACCCACCTCTGCTGGTAGACCCTGGTAGACCTCTCCTCTTCAAGTTTTCTAGTCCTCTTTTAAAACTACCCTGGACCCCCTCCAGACTGGTGTGTTTTTGCAGGTATATTCATTCTGCAGCATGTCCCGATAGGCCATTCTGTCCACACATAATTCTGCTTTATTAGTTGTTCTGTGATACTTTCCCAGTATTACTGCCTTGTTGCCATATGGAGAAGCACTCCTGGGCTATAGTGCAATGAAAGTGGGACATAAAATTGACCAGGTCATTTGTGGTATAAAAAGTTAAAGGATCTCAGCAGGAGACTATGGCACATGCGCCAATCGGAAACAAAGCAGAGTTTCCCTCCTGGAAATGTTTGCAGGCACAAACGGTGCTGAAAACGGGATAACATAGAACGACCCTGATGCCATCATGAGTGCAAATAATCACAATAAAAGCAATGTCTTATTATACCTTGTGCTGGTGAGTTTCACAAATTCCACAGAATAAAACAGAATTCTCTTTTGTAAGTCCTAAATTGATTGTTGACAAGTTTTATTGAGTATCCCTAATATTATGAGAAAAGGAGAGGGAGAGAAATCTTTCCAGCCTTTCCTATCCAGATGTTTTGGGCTGCAGCAGGACAGCTGGGCTGGCTGGGGCTAATAGGGGTTGCCGTCCAAAACATTCCATCAGATGTGCTGGAAGTCCAGCTGCATCAGGCACCTCCTGCATCCAAACTGTTTTCAGCTTGACATTATAGGAAGTTGCTATGTAACTTAAAGTCCTGGCACCTGAATTGCTTCTCCCTCCCTGTCGCTTTTTCATTTAGACAGCAAGCCTGTGAGCCAGGAGTGTCTTGCCTTACTTGGTTGCATGTGGCCTGCTCTTCCAATGCTGTAAATAAATAGAACATCTGAAGTCTGCTGGGTTGGGGAATGTTGCTGTGACCTCACCCACCCCGTCATCTAAAGCCCAAACACTTCAGCCTTATCTTGGGGTGGGGGTTGTGCTTTGACATCTTAGTCTTAGTGCCCCCTTTCTCCCCTTTCCCAGCACTGGTCCCATTAACTATGTACCCCAAAATTTGGGATCCACTCCAAACCTGTTCCAAAGTTTTGCAGTTAATTTGCAACATTTTGCAGCGAAAGCCCCGCCCACAGGTGTTAGTTTAAACCCCCGTGTTTGATTACTCAGTTTGTGGGGCTCTACAAATTGTGATGTTTTCACTGCAAAACAACTGCAAAACTTTGGAACAGGTTTGGAGGGGATCTCAAACTTTGCGCTTCATAGTTATCCTCCCAGTGCATCCCTGAGCAGACTGCAACTATGAGCGATCCCAGCTCTTTTGGAGCTTCATTAACTATGGACCCCAAAATCTGGGATCCCCTCAAAACTGGTGCCAAAGTTTTGTAATTGTTTTGTTGCAAACCCCAGATTTTCCGGAACCCTACAAACAGAGTAATTTAAACTCAAAATGGGGGCCATGGGTATGATCCCAAAATCTCATGCTTTTCAATCCAAACTTTGGCAAATGTTTTACAGCATTTTGCATTCCACTCATGCAAATCCCGTGTTTTTGCAGCATCCCACAAATGGGGCAATAGACCCTCAAACCCGGGGGTCACAGGGTCACCCAAAACCCCAACATTGTTTGGTTCATTCCAAACAAGCGCCCTTCTTTTTATTGTATGATAAGTTTATAAGTTTAAAATCCACATATGTATCAGAGTCAGCCGATTCTGGGGTTTGTAGTTCATGGAGCTGGCTGCAGGCACAAGCAAAGGCCATTTCTCTTTGCCCTTGGCGCCCTCCTGCACATCCTCCAACCCCTGTCCCGCTTCCAGCTCTCCCTGGCTCTGGGGATGTGGGGGCACATTGACGGGGGCTGCCTTTGAAATTCATTCTACACCTCCCTTTCCTTCCTGCCTCACATCACATCCAGCCAGATAATAATGACATGCATTTGCAGAGAACGCTCCCTGCTCCCGGCAGCACTTGGGCAGGCTGTGCTTGTCTGCCCCCCAGGGAGGGAGGCAAGCTGCACTCCGCTTACTTTCGCCAGTGTGCATGGCGAGGTGGATCTCTCGATCTCTCTCACCACCCTACCTCCCTCTCTCTCACGTGTCATATGTCACACAGAGAAGTGGTTAGAGTGCCAAAGACCTGGGAAACCCAGGTGAATCTCTCCCCCCCCCCCGCGCGTAGCTGTGATTTTCATGAATGCATTTGTTTTGTTCTGTGGCAAAAAAGCAACTAATGAATTTAATGCTGTAACACAGGGGTAGGCAACCTAAGGCCCGGGGGCCGGATGCGGCCCAATCGCCTTCTCAATCTGGCCCCTGGACGGTCCGGGAATCAGCATTTTTTTACATGAGTGGAATGTGTCCTTTTATTTAAAATGCATCTCTGGGTTATTTGTGGGGCATAGGAATTTGTTCATTCCCCCCCCCATATAGTCTGGCTGCCCACAAGGTCTGAGGGACGGTGGACTGGCCCACGGCTGAAAAAGGTTGCTGGCCCCTGCCTTTAACAGGTAAAAGGTACCACCTGTGTCCCCAAATGCTGCAATAATAGTCAAGACAGAACTGAGAGGATGTTTGGAATTCACGCGGGGGAAGGGGAGGAACATGAACCAGCTGCTCTTTGCTTGCATCCCGTTAGCTCAGCTGCGCAGTCAGGAGTGGGCCAAAGCC